GTTATCTCTCGGCAGGAACATAAGTTGAGAATCTTTAAATATTCTCATTTTTAGTATTAGAACAAGACATATAAGCGAACAATATTGTTTTCAATTAGATCTTCTTCAGGCTTTGCTCTTCTTTACATAGATTTATATATAAAAACTTTTAACCAATGACGGTGATTTTGTGGATCAAATAATATTAATAATGTGGTAATCTTTTGAAAGTAATTAATAACGATGATTACAATGATGTGAAAGCTGACAAGAATGAAATGTTAAAAAAGTTTAATGATGCACATCTATCGCTCATCTTCACTTGTGAAGAAGAACATGATGGTAGACTACATTTCCTTGACGTCCAATTGAGTAGAAGACGGGATGGTTCACTCAAGAGAGATGTCTATAGAAAACCTATATCTGTAGGACAATGTACACATTTCCTCTGTTTTGTACCAATCCGATACAAAATCAATTTGGTCAGATGCTTCACGAATAGAGCAAGACGTATCTGTACAGATGACTCCTTAGGAAATGAGCTAGGATACATCCAAAATACGTTGGTCCAAATGGGTTATCCTAGTAGATTTGTAAGGAGACACATGAACACCAGGTACAATAGAGAGGAATTGACAACAGTTAAAAAGAAACAACTGTTCATGAAACTGCAATTTAATGCGGACGTGGCTAGCGAAGTCTTACATCTGAGATTATCGAGAGCGATAAAACGGACTTATACTGCCGCCACCCTCTGTTTGTCACTTTCCAGCCGACCAATTTTGATTGCTCAAGTGAAAGATAAGCTGTGCCACCTTTATGTGTATCTATAAATTTAGTTACTCCTGTGGAGACAGCTATATAGACCGAACAACTAGACAGCTTAACAAACGCATTAATGAGCATCTTCCTTCACGGTTCAGAAAAGGTCAAATAAAATCCATACGAAGTTCTTTTTTGGCTCATTTGATTGATAGTGGTCACCAAGTAGACAGAAATAGTGCCTTCGAAGTCATCTATCGAACTCCATCGAGCCTTTCGAAAGGAATCGGAACCCTTCTTTTAAACTTAGCCGAAGCTATGAAATTCCGAGAGAACAATCCTAGTCTTGGCATACAAAAGAAGCTTGTTCTACCTTTTTCTCTCTCTTGGCCTAGGTGAATTCTATTCAAAACTCACCCACCCTTTCTTATTTTTCATCTCCTTCGTCCTTTTATGACATTTATTTAAACTCTGATTGTCTGTCCACTTCACATTTTAAGATCTGACCTAATTTATTTATTTATTGAATTGTCTACATATACACATATACTAACTTTGTGAGTCTTATCACCTGAACAAACCTTATTATCAGTATTTTATTATTATAATCATCGTTATTAATTGCGTTCAAAAGATTTACCACATTACTATTATTATTATTATTTGATCCACAAAATCACCGTCATTGGTTAAAAATTTTTATGTATAAAACTATGTAAATAAGAGCAAGATCTAAATGAAAACAGTATTGTTCGCTTATATGTCTTGTTCTAATAAGTTGAGAAATTCAATTCTGAAGAAGTTCCGGTGGTTTTGGAATCGGATGTAACCCTAGATATCCAAAAACGTTTGTTCAATGTAGTTTACATTTCAACTTAGTTGATTGATAACAGTGAAAAAGAAAAATACTAACGCTAATACTAGTTTCGTCTGTCTTCAAACTACATCACTTCTACTGACGGCGATGTAACTTGCTAAGAATTGTTTGCGTTGAACAAAAGTTCAATTCTATGGGTGATAGACATAGCGATTGAAAAATGACACAGAGACTACGGGCTTATAACCAATAAGTCTTCGTCCAGTTATTCACATGGTAATTTAAGAAGGAACAGTAAAGACAGGACTCCAAGTGAACATAGACAAGACGGAGGTTATGAAAATAACCAACAACAACAACAACAGCAAAATCCAGCCACAATCACCATCACAACGGGAAGGATTTGGAAGAGGCTACTTCATTCACTTATCTCGAGAAGGAGCATTGTCTCAACTACAGGCAGTCGGAACAGACGAGAATGTCATATCAAGAATCGGAAAGGCGAGAAACACATTCATCAACCTGAAACCAATCTGGAAATCTTCGTCACTCAGCCACATCAACAACAAAATTCAGTAGGATTTTCAATACAAACGTCAAGTCAGTCAGTTCTTCTATACGGATCAGAAACTTGGCGGGCGGGCGGGTCACAAAGAATATTTCCAACAGCCTGTTGCAGACGTTACCTTTATCAACAACTGTCTTCGCTGGCTCTATACTGAAGATCAGATGGCCGGGCCGGACAGAATCACCAACAAGAAACTATGGCCGTGAATAAACAAAACAAGAACCAATCGCCAACCAACAAATATGCAGGTGAAAGTGGAGATGGATTGGACACTCGCTCGCTGAGGAGGCCGCTGGGTGACGTCGTGCGCGCGTCAGGCCAGTGCTCGAGCGGAACCAGACCGAAAGGGAAGCACGCGGCGAGTGGGACGTCAGTGCAAGGGTGGGTGACATGGAGGAGGTCGTGTGAAGAGGAGTTGAAAGAGTATGGACTAACATGGACGCATGTGAGAAGTACAGCAAAAGACAGAAGCAAATGGAGACGTGTATTTGAAGCCCTATGTTCCACTAGGAATCCAAGGGAACAATAATAATAAGTATCAAGATGCGGTGCATAATTCAATCGGAGAGTTTGGCGGTATTCCCTGTTTAGGCCCTTTTTATTTGTTACATATAGTCAGCCAGTCAGAATTTAAAGTAGAATTAGGTAGGCAGAGTGTTGGAAGTTTAGCCATACAGCTTACACCATGGCAGAGAATATCAGTCGTAGGATTCCTGAATTAAAGTCCTATCGATACTATGATCCAATGGTCACAGACTGCAAGTGACATGAATCAAATTCATCCATAAAGGCACGGATCTAATCAATCACTGACATCTTCAAAAGTGCAAACTTTACAACTCTTCATCAAATTATTTCATCTCTTACACATTCCTTCACAGTAATACACTTTGATTTGCGATACCTTAAAATGACACACATGTAGGCAAAACTACACTGATTTTTCCGTCAGTCTATTTTACTGGAAGTGAGTACTTTAGGTTTGTAAGCAATATTTGTTTTATATATTCATGTAAAACTTTACCAAATGTTTCAGAAACAATGGCTACCGAGAAACAAGACAGTAATTTCTATGATATTTGGTCGCAATTAAAACTTTATACCATAAAACTTAATACTTAGATAGTTACCTGTAATAGCTAATTGCGATTACATTTGTAATAGAAATACAAATAACCACAAGACTGAGCATATATCGACGTTTACACCAACAATAAAATCAGTCGGAAATACAACAGTCACGTCTCATGAGATAACGAACACTAAACAAGGCCGGTCCACTTTTTTGTATGTACTGAAAGTGCGTTTACTGCAACAACTATTAAAATTTGCTTCAGTGACAGTAATAGAATGGGAAAATTTCCCCTAAAGAACAATTTACTATATACTATCTTTAAATAAACAACGGTGTTTAAAGTTGCGAGCTAAGAAAGCATTCTAGTTTATGGAATAAGGTCTCCATTTCTGTGAAGCAAGTTAACCTGTATGAAATTAGTAATTATAGTGACACTTTATATTATTAATTTACAACCTTAAATTGACATATACAGATTGGTTCCGGTGTTCTAAAATGTAAACTGTGGATAGTACACAAACTATCTCCAGCGGGAAACTAATCATAATTGAAAAGACGGTAAACAGACTTGTTAAAATACTACTAATACCAAGCAGATGGAATTTTGTATTGTATGACCTCAATTTTCGGTAGTTATACAACAGGGTGTTGGAAGATTTTACACCTAAATTTGTCGTTTAAAATTAAGATTGATTCTTCAGACTGACCAAGTTTTCACTGTGGAACTCTGCACAGAAATGCAGCAGTTCAAGTTGCCATACTCCATTTATCGCATAAAAGTACATTAAACCATTGAATGGAACTACAATGAACAGGAGAAAGGCGAGTGAATTCTCCCGATTGTACAATTATTCGGACATTTTGTGAGATGCACCACACATTGCAAGCCATTAAGTTGAAATTTTACCTTGTATAGACGCATGAAGTTAGTCAGCACGCCGAATGATAAGTGAACAATTCGTTTGTTTGAAACTTAGTGCTAGAAATATGTGACAATGTCAACATTTCAGTCCGTAGTCCTGAGAAGTGGCACGCTATGTCATGAATTGGCAGAAGTTAGAATTCGTTGGCCATGGCATTGGGCCCCAGTGGCCTAATGTTCTACGAGCTCGCCTTGTAACCAGAAGGTCCTAGGTTCGAACTCCGTAGTGTGGGTGCGCATTGACAAAGAGTCCCAAACTGAGGCGAAACAGCCGTCCAGTACTCCTAGGTTCTCCAATGGTTCTCTAGCTGATATCAGCTCATGATGAAATCATTCAACCAATCAAACTATGGTTTTTTTAATGGTGTTTTCGTAAGAAATAAACATAAGACGTGACAGGTGCCTAAATATGAATCATTCACAACCTTATGCAAAAGTTTAGACGCTGATATATTATAGAAGCCTTACTGAAAATTTCAGAACACTATATATTGCTTATTGTTTTAGAAAATGTAAGATTATGAAATCATGAAAATTACTTATTTAACTTACTACAGACTTATTCCAAAAGCCAGTTATCTGAGTCAAAAAGTATAATTGTTTACTCAGCTTGAACAATGCTTATCTGATAAACAAAAGGAAATGGATGCAACAAATGATTCCATTAAGGAGTAACGAATTTAATTCCTAATTAATATTACATATCACAGCTAGTAAATCAGTAGAGAAAAAAAGAATAAATTAAAGGAGATCCACTGAAGAATGTACACAAAAATTTCCGTACAATACTGCTATGAACGTAAATTAAGATATCATAGGATGTCAAAAACTGAGAAAGAACAGAACAGAACGCAGGGACAACAGAATGGAAGACAACTTAGGGTGAACCGCATTGTCTACACAATACACACAAGCAAGGATAGAGTACTTCAATCCATTCATCTTGAATTCTATCCCAATCGGAATCAGATTCTAAAAGCTCGTACGTTTTTTGAATTTCTGCAAAAGACGAGGTGTTTTTCAAATCAACCGGTAGAGACACTGATAAACAAGATCTATAACAAATTCAGGAAAAAAATGCATGTAAGATATTTTATATTTTCTTGCATTAAAAAAAACAGCAAAATTATTTTGACAATATTTCTGCCCTGCAAGTCCATGTATACTTTACACATAGGTTCAGCAGAATAACAAAACATTTCCCCTTAAATACGTGTAGCTATAGTGAAACACTCAGTAGCTACCATCTAGTTAGGTGAGAAGTAGTATTACAAAAGGCTATTAGTCACATGGTTTGAAATTGTTTACGATGGTTAGAATGTACTTACTTCATATTTATATTTCAGGTTTTTTTTGAGAATTTATGAAGGATATTCGTGTTATGATACTACAACTAACCACGCTAACTTTGTCTTGAGAAATTTTTTATGTAAAACAGTAGTAGAAGTAGGCAAGCAAGGTTCTCATTTTCAAAGAATATATCTATTAGCAGACACTGACAAATTTAGACTACTTAATGGAAATGGTTGTATTAAGTGTGAAATTTTGAACGCTTTGAAGTATGCTGTTTAGAACATCTTATGTGATTTCTCAGTCTGTTGAAGGCAAGACAGCTTTTCAAAGACCTCCACACTGAATATTTCTGTTATTCTATTTCCTCAATAAAATTAGTATTAGCTAAATGAAACCTCCATGTTACGCTTAACATCTTTGTCAGCATCATATCAGAATGTAAAAATCTAGCAGCTGAGATTTTACAGTCCACCTTACAAATAGTCAATAATTTGTTACAGGATGTACGAAAAAATGAATGAATATTATGATTTGACACTAGTAACTAGTGTGATGTGTCTAGTCCTCTCATTGGTGCAGACTGAATTCTATCAATCAAGTTGTAATGTAGCCACTATTCTAGGTAGTTCGCCATCACGGTGCACATTGATTTGATGATATTAGATGGTTGGAGGCAGTCGGCAGGAAGCCTGGACCTAGTTAATAGTGTCAAGTCAAAATATCCACTACAGTCCTACAGGAGGTCAATCACGAGCCCGAATAGCTTAGTGGTAGCGTCTCTGACTGCAGAACTCACTAGGTGACGTGGGTTCGAATCTCAGAAGGGACATGAGTTCCTTCAAGGTTGCAGATAAGCAACCAACTAGGACGAAACCTAGGTCCAAGGCTTCCTGCGCATTGCCTCCAACCATCTAATATCATCAAAATGAATGAATATATGAAAATAAACGAGGTGAATTTGGTCATCTATTTTAATAGAATGTTAGTTAGCATGTGCTAACCACTTCTTCACTGATAATTTTTAACCATAACTGATACGTCACACAAACAAGATAAAATACACCAAAAATTAGAGGTATTCACCAAGTAAGAAGTCTGTTAGAAGATAAAAATATTAACTACCACTGTTAAAGATTACTTAATACATCCTAAGTAAAGAAATAAAAACTATTTCTAGCATAATAGTGAAAATGTCTAACTTACCGATGACATGATTTGTTACATCGATTACAAAACGTCATTTTCAAGTCATGAGGACGCACAGGTCCTTCATTGCAAACTGTACAATAACTTGGCACATGTGTTTCACATATCTAAATTGCACACACAATGCGTGCGAAACAGAACAAAGCATGATTAAAGTTCGAAAAATAGTTTTGATAAGTTAGTGAAGGTGAAATTTGATGAGAATTCTAATTGGTATAATCCCAGTTGAGAGCATCTTCTCGCACTACTTCCACTATGAGACAGACAGAAATAACGTGAAATTTAGGATAAAAAGCCATTTTCTTCAACTATCTTACTTTTCGAAATAATGAGGCGTTAAAATAAAGGTGACACAAAAAAATAAATGGATGCACTCTGGAGAGATATTGAAGGTCTCCAGTAAAATTAAAGGCGATTACTTTTAAACATTGTAATCATCACTTCCCTTTAACCACTGAATTTAACAAATAGAAAAGTCCCGGTTGCAGATCGTCATTGTATTATTTCAAAGTCCTTACACCACTGACAACTTTCCACACTGATATCTGATCCTGTCTACCCAGTCTTTTTATAAAACTAATTGCCTTATTTTAGTGTAAACGGTAGTTTCATGCCTATGCATGTATATATATATAAACATATATATATAATAAAATTAATGTTATATGCAAATTACTGAATGGTATAAACCTTACTTGACATTCTACAACATGTTCATCCACTCTCGATAATAGGTTTTTTAACTTCATAAACAACTTCCCGTTTAATACCTGACTTATTAAATCCATAGTAAATGTAAACGGTTGTTCAAGAAACCACTCAAGACCATATTCCTTAAAGGGTAAAACAAAGAAATTTTACAGTAATGAAATGAGAAGTAGGTTTTGTATATTCAAATTTAATTACTAAATAACAAGCCTGCATCTCTTGAGTATGGGGAAATCTGGGTGTATCGAGGTCTCTTCATACACGTTTTCACAACTTCAAATTCTTCAGAAGTTTGTTTGGTTTGAACTAACTTTTCTGGAGCAGATTTTATATGTACCAGGTTGAGAGCAATGTTTATCGTGTGACAGCTGACAGCACTACTCAGTTGCTGAGACTGAAGTAGGTGGAGTGAGACTCAGACTTATGACGCATTCGTTTGGCTGAAAACCGAGTGCTTAAGTCAATGACACATTCACAAAACAGCAGTTGTTAATATTAATTCACTGAGTGACTAAATGACATAAATTTAATTGCTAGTGTATATACATAATTAAATACACAAACTTTTTTCATTCTTAGACCTTTCTGGAATATTTCTTCTCGATTTCATCAAAAAAAACTGAGACTGCCACTTGTGCATATAATTAACTGACTTTTCTAGAATCGTCTAATTGTGATGATTAGATACACTTTTCATGGATTTCTGACTTTCTCAGGGGATTTCGAGTAACACTGGACGTTACATAATTCAGTACCAAATGCCGTGTCTTTATCATGGGCCTATCAAAATGAATCAGATATATGCTTGCCTTATTATACGTATTATTAACCCGTTGTTTTGTTACTTTCTTTACGAAAAATGGTCGTGATTAAATTATAACTCATATTCATAAATAAGACTGTAACGCTTCTACTCTATCACAATGTTATATATATATATGCCTTACTCCAACAGACGAACTATCAATTTATTATCGTTTTCTATAATAGTACTATTGTGGCCTGTGTTACTGACAAGATTTATCAGTATTATATAAAGGGAGGATCATCGACACAAAACCATAAAATAACGGGGTAATAGATTTGACATCAGTCAGGAAATGAACAAGTATTGCGACAAAACATGGGAAAATATGACAGATAAACACAATATGAAGGGTAGAAATAGCACAACACAGAAAACCTATGCAAATGACAATTTGGCGATAAGGTGCACATAATTTCCCTAAATATAGAGATATCAAATACGATATTTTGATTTGACACTAGTAACTAGTGTGATGCGTCTAGTCCTCTGATTGGTGTAGACTGAATTCTATCAGTCAGGTTGTAATGTGACCACCATTCTAGCTAGCTGGCCATCACGGTGCACATTGATTTGATGGTGTTAGATGGTTGGAGGCAATCGGCAGGAAGCCTTGGACCTAGGTTTGCAGCACTGGGTGACGCGGGTTCGAATCTCAGAAGGGATATGAGTTCCTTCAAGGTTGCAGATACGCCTTGCTGACGAGTGCCAACTAGCGCGAAACCTAGGTCCAAGGCTTCCTGCGCATTGCCTCCAACCATCTAATATCAAATACGAAATAAACATTTCGTTACCACGTCTCTTGTCTTCTACCGTTACACTACACTTCTGATATATGAATTTTGGGCTCAATTGTTTTTTGCTTATTATTATTTTGCTTTTATTTTATTCCTTAATGTTCCTAGTGGAATATGGGGCTTCCGTAGCAGTGGTATTTGTTTTTACGGAGTGGAGTCGCTAGCTCATGCCCAATCTTTCCTCTCTACCTCTCTTATTAACAGCTCGACAAGCTTTAAGAGTGCGTCAACCGCGGACCACATTCGTCATTGGCAAGCATTCTACCACCGAACTATTAAGGCACCACTGTACAACTATATTCATCTAAAACCTATTGTTTCAGGATTTTTAAAAATTAAAACAAGTTCGATGCAAGAAAACAAATTTAAAAGTGTAACAAATAATCAGAAATTTCGAAAAACAAAAATATACTAATAATCGCTCTTACCTCTACGTCGGAAGCATATCTTTTGGCATCTGAACAAACGTTAAAATAGGGTTGAAGCCTGAAAATCCTTGAACGAAGTGAACATACTTGTCTGGCTAAAGGTTCATGATAGTACCATGAAAGAGGGACGCGAAATAAGTGACGAGACCAAGCATAATTCAGCCACAGGTATGAAGTCCTACATACCTAAAAAAAATCGCATGCATATATATATATATATATATATATGAAGTATCAAGAACTCTAGCCACGAAATCATCACAAAGCAATACAAAATAGATTGACGCAAAACCCCACTGTTCCTTGTTTAGCAATCTCTTCGTTTAGAAATTAGGCAAAAGTTGTAGTATTAAAGAAAATGGCATTTCTTCTGAATAACTGTAACTGCAGGTCGTCAGGTCCGACAGAAAACATTTTGAGAGTTAATATAAGGCGAACCCTTGCCTAAGTTATAAGAGCACGTTTTTCTTACAGGCAAATTGCACCACGTACTCTACGTCACATGCATAAATAAACTACTCACGAACGGACTCATAGAGATGTAAAGGTATGCCTAACTTATAGACAGTTTCGCCTTTACTGTTTCCCTAACAGATAATAGAATCGTTATTCAGCAATCCAAAAATACACTACAGGTAAAAGCATGTTCGTTTGAAAAGAATATCAGTTTCATGGGGAGTAAATTTGCACGTTTTTGCTTGAAGATAGCACTGGCTTGTTAACTTTACTTCCAGAGACAATATTTCTACAGGCAGGGAATAAACAACATATCGGTCTCCTCAGGATCAAATAAAATGACGTTTTCCTAAGTTACTGTGAATTAGATTGTAATGACACATTTACTAGGTTTTAAGTTCATAAATTATTTCTTAATAATGAACTATATGATTCTCTCTATTATTGAAAAAAACTCAGTTGGTCAAAACTTTATCACTTTCGATATTCAGTACGGCAACGAAATGTGAAATTACAGGGCTTACCGGTTTAGCCTTATAATCACCCATAACAAACATGCAAGCTGGTATTTGAAACGTATCTCCCCAGTGACATTTAGAACAGTAGAAATATCCTGAGTAGTAGCATAGGTGGGCGGAATCCAATGTATAAGGAGAGATTGAACTAGAATTTTCTAACAAGTTTGAAACGCTGGATGGCTTCTCAAATTTTAAGTGACCGTTTTGAATGTCTATTAATAGAGACGACGGAATCGGACGACTAACCTTTTTGAACGCCTGCATAACACAAGCATCATGCCATGTTTGTATTGGCTCAAAAGTAACATTTGAAGCAGAAATTGCGTAGTGTTTTAAAGGATCATTCAACTGATTAGAATCTGCCGTAAATAGCTCACGAGAAACAAACTTCATTAAGTAAGCAGACAAAGACGGTTGTTGAGAACTTATTTGAGGAGTCATTTGATCGACATTGTCGGATTTTGGTAACAAATCCTCAAAAGCTTTCCCGACAAGCGCTCCGATACCTCTTTCAAGAACTTCATTAATAGCTTTAGCATAGTTGGATTTATTCAAACGTCTTGGCAAAACTGCATCTGAGGGTGAAAAATTGATAGGTTTTGAGCATTCTGCACACGTCCAAGACTGAGATGTTAGATTTGCTGAGATGAAAGACAGATTGGAAACGTCCAAATACTTGAAGGAAATTCGGTGTCTCAGGTCAGGAAAATTAACAGTGGGGGATAAACCTGAAGTTTTGTGGGCACCACTTTCACTTTCAGTTCGCAGGCGCCGAAAGCCCAAATGACACCCAGATACTGTGTTGGATAAATGCAGTGCACCTGGACACCTACGTACCAAGCTATTAAGACAACCATCAAAGTGACATATAATGTGGCATGTTCGACATGAGAATATCTTACCAGTTGGACGGCGAACTATACGTCCACAACATTCACAAGTTCTTCCTAAGTGACGTATAGCCGAAACCATTTGGAAATCATGGCCACCAGGATATGGCGTATGTCGTAACGAGGAACGAGATCCTTCTGGACTTATTGTCTGGTAAGACAAACTAGGTAATGATACTTGGGACAAATTTCGTGAAATTGATGATGTATCTATGACACCTGTGGAAGTACATCCAAGGCTATGCCGACTTGAGTTTGTAGACATACCAGATAATTCCTTCGCAACCAAAAACGAAAAAAAAAACAAAAGGATCAGTTAAACCAAACACAATCAAACAAAACTTTACTGAACAAAGTAGGCATATTAATTACTAACCAACTTCAGATTTACTCCAACTCAAAGGTAAAAGTTAATTAAAGGTCAGAAGTTGAAGTGAAAAGCATATGCACAATTGCTGACAGCCACAAACGAACCGAAAGTTGACGTATTTATTAACTGGAAGTAAAAGTGAAACCCTTAGAATTCAAAAGAAGGGAATATGTGAATGTATCTGTAATCCATCAGGAGCTATATCTACTCAGATCTTCAACCGCACAATGCAGTCAACCGGTGGTCAGATTTACACTTATAAGTGTTTTAGTTTGGTTGTTCTTACATGTTTTTAACCTAGACCTAATATAATTAAAATACTGCACAAGAATAAATAAAAGCTTCACATGAATAACGAATGTTCTAATCGCCTGTCCATAAAAGTTAATTCCCTTAATAATCCATTTATATTTTTGAAAACTAATGAACATTTGAAGTTTCAAGCATAAAAATAGTCTATAATTCGAGCACGGTATTCTGAATAAACTAACCAAACTTTTAGACAGGATATGGGCATCAGATATGATTTCCATTTACTGATTACAAGCACTGCTTATTTTAACTTTTCCTACGTTTCCACTTCTCTATGTTGCGACAAGTGCATTATTTGACTGAGAAACTGTAAGCACTGCTACGACGTGTATCTCGAGATAAACAGCCTTTGATCAAAGCCTGTATGCAAAACGGTTGCTTTAGAACTAACTTGAGTCAATATCTCATTAGACTACATGGAGAAGACTGGTGAACCATGTCGACCCATTCGATTATTTTGAAGTTGTATACGCCCTGGTAAGTAGGTGTAAGGTGAAATGTGAGGATGCACACAAAGGATTCCCTAGGCTCCCATCAAACTGCTGCACTGACGGGATGGGCGAGATATTTGATGCCTCACTCTGTAACTTAATGAAGGCTAGGTTTATTTCCTACTGTGTATGATTCATTGTCACTAAAATTGACTCAGCGGAAATACATTGTATCACTCATAAAGTCTGTATGAGTCAAAAGTTAATCAGACTTCCTATTGTGTTCATAAAATAAGACATTCATTACGTTTATCTGGGAATAAATGATATAAGAATAATTACTTGGCTTACTTTAACATCTTGTAAAATCCTTCTTAACTCAATCAATCGATCTAGGAGGCGCTCTTTTTTTTCCGATGACTCCTTTGACAAGGCCAAAAACATATGTTTACACTTGAGAATTGCATCTTCCAAATCTTCCACTGTAGAGGACTCATTAATGTGTATCTGGACGGAATTTATATTTGTAAGGCTGGGATTTTTTAAAACCTATAAACTTACGAATGGGACACTGAAATAGTCGTTAGACATAGATTCAGAGAAACCTTTTTCAACATTTTTTATACCCGTTTGAGCTAAAATGTTTAGAAGTTTGATTTAAAATACCATCATATAAAGCTGAAATCGCACTCTGATTCTCCTGTACGCTGCCATCGAAAGGATTTATGCGGTGAAATCTGTCAACCATATTTATCCTGCTTTTGTAAGGATGCAATCCAAAATCACCAAAATTAACAAACCTGAGATCACTGATATGTTACTGAGAAGTCGTTGAAATTTGATAAATGTGTGCTTAAATTATTAATAATCCTCAGACATAAAGAGATGAAGTAAAATTCATACAAACTTTGCTGCATATGCAGTAAATAAATTGCGAATGGCAGCAGTTACACTGCAGCAGCAAAAGTCAAGGACAGCCCAAAAACGACCTTGAAGCTCGCATATCAACGTTAGAAAACATTGTTCCCAGTCAAACACTGCTTGATATAAGAATGGGCCTTGCACATTTTGGTCGAGTATGGCGAAGCTGAACTATCATAGCCAAAATAAAGGTCCTCCAAAGCTGACCTGTCAGAACCAATCAGATTTAGGGACCACAATTTAAGGTAATTCCAAATCAAATCATGCCTACCTCTTGGAAATTGCCGAGGGAGGACACAGTATTATACTTATTCCCCAGACATTTTCCCTTAAAATCTATACTCTTAGTGAGGGCTGTGTTTTCTTAAGTTTAAGGGCGGCTCTAAACCAATGCGGCCCAATAACGAAGTTACATAGGGAGTGGATTAATGACTGTTACCAACTAGTCAGATGAGTCCGTAGTAAGTACGTGTAATTATGAGTTCTCTACGCGAACTGTGCATCGAACCTTCTACACATCTAGTATTTAGCCACTGCTTAGGCAACAGGTTCATTGGAGGGGAGAAAAAATGCCGCGAACTGTCATCCATTGACTATATAATAACTTGGTTAAGCTAATCGCATTATATAGCGAAACGCCAGTAAATACAATATCATTTTGTTTTTTATTCATTAGGAAATACAAAATTCTTTTATTTTAATGAATCCCTTGTCTATATTCACAACGCGGTCAAACGTACGGACGATTTCACTAATCCTATCTATGAGACTGACACAAATTCCTCCGACAGTTTCTAGAGTTGCCTAAAAAAGTACAATCCGGGTAATGAGAGTCGGGAAACAAGATAATTTAAGGTTATACTGACGAATATGTATTCAGAAATTGGTCTAATCTGACTACAGGGACTCCTACAAGGGAAAAGTTGAACTTTAAACACCAGTAAGTACCCACTCACAACTGACCTTGATTGCATCATACAAATGATATAAGTGATACATGCACATGAAGTGCACGTATTCATGAAAATAATGGGTAAAAATGAGGAATGGACATCAAAGTCAAATGGCCTTGAATCGACCAGCAAGATGGTTCAGAACTACACATGAATGTTGTTCATAATTTTCGTCGCAAGTTTCACCCAGATGTTTAAATACTGATGATGCAGCGACTAGGAACTGCCATTCGCACACTCAAGAGGAAAGTTTATCCGCAACTATCATCACTAGACTATATTCATCACCAATTTATAGATCCTATTGGTGCAACTCATAAAATTCTATTGACGGATTGTAGGTCCATCTAAAAAATGTTTTATGGTGGCAAATGGCGCCCGATATGACACGATACACAGCCACTTCGATGAACTTTAGTAACGACATTGGTTTGATATGTCTACAGACACTCATGTGGGAACCTACGACCAGTTTTTACAGCATCTTAGAGATATATACACCGTATAATTCTGTTTCACTACATATATTGTCAGTCTCGTCTCATAAACCGTTAATGCCCAGCTCTCGCTACGCTCGGGCCCACGCTGTTCCTTTGAGTTTCAGAAACGCTTAGTTATAACGGACGCAAAAACCAAAACACCGATCTGCTGCTTGTTATTTCTTTATTGTTACACCAACATATAAAAGGAATAAACGAACTAAGGTCTGAAAACAAATATTACAATAATAAATCATTTTATTACTTCTGACGATATTTTACTCTTCTTTCTGAACAGCGACCGATGAGACGATGACTGTCGTATTGATGCCTCCGCGAAAATCGGGGAAGTTGATTTTGAGCAAACAACCAAGAATTGATCGTTCAATCTTCAACTCCATTGACACTCCCCGGCAAAAAAGGGATCCAACCCTTTTTTCCTTCACGATCAATGCACGTTGACTTGGATGCCATTGCGAGAACCTGGGTCACACGGACAGAGCTGAAATGGAAAACAAACAGAAAAGCCAACACACCACAAGCATACCCACAGCACAATCTCACACATCGCTGACGACCTGCGCCTCCAGACAGAGACCTCCTCTTGACATCTTGCAACACAATCGCCACTTACTAGAATGACTCTTGCAGAATGCAACGTGACCATAGCAGCACCTCATGATACTCTTCAAGCATCCTCTTTTCTATTCACTATCAATTACCACTGAAATCGCTTGTCACTCATTCTGCCTCAGTTCTAGTAGCGGTGACGCATGCGAGCCTCAGTCGTTTACACTCTTTCTCCCCGGCGTGTCGGACCGCAGCTAACAATTATCTCCGTGTGCATTTCATTCTCAGCAATAGCCTCCCCGGCGTATACGACCCATCTGCTGTCTTTAACATCAATCAATTCATTCACGGATGTAGAAGACTCGAAACAACTTCAGAAGTAATCACGACGAAAATTTTAACAAAATTACGCAATAACAACAAGATACGAAAACAACAAGTAAACACAATGAATAAAAAAACACCAATTGATATGACACACCACACGTATATACAAATAGTACAAATAACCTCGCGGATCATGTCTTGGTGGAATTCCTTTGAAGAATTGCAGGACTTACACCAGTACGCCTACAACCCTTCACAGGTTGACGATTGTAAGTTGTGGAATGTCCAGACACAAACAAGATTAACCAACAATTACATCAATTGGAACTCACACAACTATTTAACACAAACATATGTACAATCAACACATCAAATGTTGTGGATTCTGACACGACAAACTACCCTTGAAGAACTGTAGGACTTACAGCAGTACGCCTACATTCCTTCTCAGGTTGATGATCCAAGTGGAAGTCGTCCGGACACAAACAGAATTACCAACAGCTAGATGACAGATGATATCAATTCAGTATATACAATATGAACATATGTACAAGATCATACACCAAGCACATTGGACTGCTCATTGATGCGCTACCCTTTGAAGAACTGTAGGACTTACACCAGTACGCCTACAACCCTTCTCAGGTTGACGCCCTAGGTTGGAAAATCGTCGCAGAGTTCATTTGCTAACTTCCTTCTATCAGCTATATCCTCAAATCTGAACGGCAACACGCCCATGTCATTGTATCGTAGAATATAGATGACCAACAAACACACGACATATCTCATCAACCAAGTATAGAAACAGAGTAATTTACACCAAAGATAATAACATTCAAATAGTAACTTGAAACTAGAAATGCCTTTATTCGTGCAAGTCAATTTAACAATAACTCTCTCCTTTACACTTGGCTTATCCACACTAAACTGACCATTGATATTCGTCCTTTCAAACGAACTGATACTACCATAGTCATTGCACAAGATACTTGAGTTGATGGGTGTCTGTTTCATTGTGGATGACAGCACCAACGATGACTGAGTGACACAAGGTGATGAACTTAGTGGTGGATCAGAAGCTGTTCTTTTTCGGCTCTCAGATAGTTGTCCAACTGCAAGATTACCACCACTGCTGTCTTTCACTACTAGTTCGGGTTTAGCACTATCATCTGATGATAGGTGGGCTACACGCTGATCAATTACACTGACTGTCTCACAAGTATGCACACCTTTTGGAACTGCATCTGCGTTCAATTCTACTTCACGTTGTAGTTGTACAGAACCTTTATTTAACTTAGCAGTAGTAGGCATATCCCTCATCTCATAATGATCAACCAAAGACAACTGTGAAGTATCATGATCATTATCACGAATATTCACTTTACCGTCAACTTCATCATTTTCAAACTCTTTAATAACAGAAGTAGACAATTTTGGTTCCTCCTCGCAAATCATTAAAGGTTTTATAACTTCACTCTGACTAGTAATACCTTGTAAACTTGTGGAGTCAGAACTGCACTCTGAAGCAGTAACTCTATTCTGTGACACTCTATTCAACAACGGCTTACCAGTTGCAACTACAGACTTCTTCACAACACCGTTATCGTCACACAATTCGGAGTCAGGCCTGGAGTTTACATTTAGCTTATCACTGAACTTGCTCACCGGTTCACAGTTCACTTCTGTATGCACCTCTTGCACACGTGTCAAACACAACCGTGTTTGTCTTGCATCTTGTAACTTATCTGTTGAGGATGTACTACGAAACCTGTTACACTCACTAGGTCTATATGCATTACTAGACATCATGGAGCTTTCTCGATATCCACCTCTCTGAGGCCTACTCGTCATCAATGATTGCATTTTGATCTCAGACTGCTCTATTCTAGGGGTGAGATTCAATAGACTGGCGAACTTGCTCATAGATTGATTGACACTATCTTTTACCAGTTTCAGGATATCATCAAACTTTGGCTCGATACCCTCATCCTCCATACGGGAGCTTATCTTCACCCACTTCCTTTGCAGTCGAGTAGGTAGACGTCTTGCTATTACTTCTAGTATAAAACTCGAGTTGAGGTCACTCATGCGATTCATCGAAATCATTCCATTCTTGTAAATTAGCAAATTATCTAAAAACTCAGTGAGTGCCTGGGAGTCATCCTGTAATTGACCACCATTACCCTTAACAGCCTCGAATAATTTCCCTGCAATCATCGAAGGTCTTCCAAACCTTTGACGTAATATGCTCATAGCCTCGTTGTAGCCCTCTTTTGGCTTCATAAACTTACAGCACTGTATAGCTCTTGCAGCATCTCCAGTGCAATATCTCATCAAATACATTAACTTCAATTCATCATTTAATAAAAAACTACTCAACATGATCTCAAACTCCTTTACAAATTGTAAATAATCAGCCGGGTTTCCATCAAAACACCGTGGTTCAAATTTAGGGAGTTTGATGTTCCTATTATCCCTGAACGGCGAAACAGTAACATCAACCATGTCATGCTTAACATCAGACACATCGTTACAATTAACAGACAAGTCACCATGACT